GCATAATACAAACTTTTTGCTTGAAAAACCTAAAAAATGATATGAAACAAAATGAAATGTATAAAAATTAAAATTACAACTAACAAAAAAAGTAGAAATCTCACCTTATCTGTTTCATTGATTCCACTTTGTTGCCTATTTTCAATTTGTCTAAGGCACCCACTATATTTACTGCAACACTTCATGATTATGCCCCAACAAGATTGGATAGAAACTTGTGTTCTACCATTTTCGTCATTGTTGTGATCAAGATAATTTTGGAATATCCAATTCCAAAACTTACTTTGTGATTGCGAGTTACCAACAATTGGATCTTGGGTGATACTCAACCAAGCATTGCAAATTGCTATATCTTAATCCGGCGTGAGTGCCTTTCCCCGCTTTGTTGATGATTGAGAGACTTCCATTGATAGTTATCAATAAGCCAAATCAAAGCAAAGGTCTGTGAACAAAAATGAACTTAAAATTAAACCTAATTTGGCTATGATAACTATTTCAATTTGGTTATGAACGTACTGATATTTTATATAGTAGGAAAATAGTCCATAACAACGTATAACATTGTAACCTAAACCAACTTTTTCTATGTTTCATCTAAACAAAAATATTGAAGTTTGAAAATTCTATAACTCTAGAAATTGTACACTTTTTTTCTATTAAGAAAAAATGACTCATTATATTAATCGAGATAGTTTCAAACACATATACACACATGCAAACAATATGATAAAATGTACAGTTAGCACTAGCACAAAAATAAAATTAAATCGGGAACTAGCATACAGATGAAATAAGAGCAGGGAAAAATCAAATTAACACCAGTTTCTTTCATTGTTTTTCAATCAAGGGTTCAGCACACAGGGTTTAAGTAGAATCACCTTATAATAGTTTTTGACACAATGCGGATAAATGGAGCAGCCAACACAAGAGCCAAATATCAATTAAAATTAAAATCTGCACCAACAATTCCGGGAATGAATTTTCCATTCACATGAGAAAATGAATTTCCAAATAGATGAACATCAGAACTAACAATTGAGTGAAATAATTGGGAAATATGTGAACAAGTGAATATGTAAACAACACATGAATTGAAATCATCTCACCATAAACTAATGACAACTTAATTGATTGAAATTATCACCACATAGTAATATTTACAGAGAGACTCTACAATTTTATAAGGGAAGGCAGAGATAAAAGAGAAATTAAAAAATAGTACCTGGGTTTATGTTGCTTGACTATAGTATTCAGAGGCCCAAACCAGTAGAAAAGTTGCAAACACAGTAATAATTAAGTTTCAAGAAGAAATGAACAGTAACCAAAATCATTGAGCACAAACAAGAAAATACCCTCAAAAATTTAAAAGCATGCCCACAAACAACATAGTAGGCCGAAGAAGATTAGGACTTGTATGTGGAGAAATGTGAAATCAAAGAGATAAAGAAGAGAAAGATGGAGAGAGCCTATCGAGGAACGACAGAAACGAAGTGAGAGTAAATACCCCTGGCCGATGGAGAGAGCCTATCGAGGAACGACAGAAACGGAGAGAGAGTAAATACCCCTGGCCACCGTTCTCTTCTCTTTTGTTTGCTGGTCACCCCTTGCTGCCGTTCTCTTCTCTCTCTCTTGCCCTAGCAAAAGAGGAGCTGGCCCCTTCTATTTCTCTAGTCCTAGAGAAATAACAATTGTTATTTCTTCTGTCACAATTGGTGTAAGAATTGATAAAGGCAAAAATTAACACCCCAATTGACATTATATTGGAGAGCCTAATTTGAAGCCCACCAACTATTTTTTTTTTAAATAGCAATACATTTGACATTGGATTGGAGAAGATCTTGCCAACACAACACAGATTTATGGCGCTCAACTTTTACTTATTATACTAGATAATGACGATAGCACGAGCAATACCAAAAACAAATAAAAAATTTACTAATGACCACTTAACAGCCCAATCCGTATTTTGTGGTCAGTATTCATCGTGGCAAGAAGTGGTGAAAAAAAAAAATTTAAATAAATAAAAAAAAAAAGCAAGAAGTTCATTTACTGAAGTCACAGACCATAGCACAAGTAAAACATAAAAGTGGAGTGAAAGAGTAATGTGATGTTTGATTGATTGATTGATGTTTAATTTTATACTAATATATACTAGTACGTGTGTGTATATATATATACTATATGTAATTATTGTTTTAGATTCCTCTTCCCTTTCTCTCTTGGCAAAAGATTGTTCATCGTAGGGTGACTAAGAATCGAATTATTTACGGATTGAAAATTTGAATCCGTCACTAATTCGTCGTCTTACGAATGGGTTGGTTCGGATTATATCTATTGAATAACGGTTTAATTTGAATATACAGATCGAGCTTTTTTCAAAATAATCTAATATTATTTATTTTTTAATTATAATCAAATAAATAAAATTTTAATTTATCACCATTAATTTATATATTTAAATGATCACTATTAATACATTAATCCATTAAATAATCATTAATTAATTAATACATTCTTTGAATATATATATATATATATATATATATATATATATATATATATATATATATATTTTACGAATCGAACTTACGGATCCGATCGAATTTTTAACAGTTTAATTCGTAAATTACGGAATTGATTTTTTTTAATCCAAACGATCGAAGGGTGGAACTAAGTCGATGCTTAAGTGTTTATTTCATTGATAAACACAATACGGGAGATTGAATCAGATTCGCAAATTCAAGAGTTGTTTATCCACCCCTAATTGTTGGTTTGTGTCTTCACTATTCCATTCCTTTATCATTCTTAATTCCTTGTTGTTCCTAAATCCTTATTGTCAACGTGTAATTAAAACGATTGTAACCAATGGTTCAGTATTGACATGATTATCTTACAAAAACACAGAAGAATTAAATTAGTATTGTTTGTGGTGCATTAAGAATATCACTGGGGAAAAAAAAAAAAAAAGTAAACGACACCGGATTCTGATGATTAGGATAGTGATTAATATTGAATTAATTTTAAATTATAGTACTAAGAGTAATTTACAAAAAAAAAAAAATTATATTTTAGTATGAAACTTGGAGATCTAAGTAAAACTTGAGCTGTCAATAGTGATATATATTTCACCACGTAGAAAAAAAAGAAGGGAGAGAGGTGATGAGAAGAGAAAGGATAAATGACAATAAGCCGTCATTATTTTTTTACAAATTTCTTTCCTCCAAAGAGAGGATTGAAGGCAAGTAAGATGCCAAGAGTCTTGTGTCGTAATAATATGTTGTTTTACTTTTAAAAGTGGATGGTAAAAGTTTGGTTCTCCAAATGAATAAAGTGAATGTGTGAGTGATACGTGTATTTTATGTCAACGAAAAAAAAAAAAAAAAAAAAAAAAAGACAAGTGGGGTTTATAAAATTTTAAATTATAATATCATTCTTCATAACAAAGTAAGTGATGAATATAATTAGTAAAAATAATTTAAAACTATCTCTTCCCTTCTCTTAAAATAAGTTGTTAGTTCTTTCTCTTCCACCAACTGAACAAAAAACCAAAAAAACACAATATCTTTCCTATGGATGTTGTATCCATACATTCTTCTCTCCCTTTCATTTAAAAAAATAACAAGTAAGAAGATAATTATTGATGCGTATATGTCTCATATACCGAACCCCAAAAATAAAATAAAAAATAGAAAAGATTAATGTGTGTCTCTCTTGAAAAAAATAATAATAATAAATAAATAAATTTTGTCCCACTAAAATAGAATCGTGAGAAAGGTGCGCTTAGAGACAAACATTTGATATTTTACTAAGTGATTGTTCTAGACTAATTAAACCAGCTCTAGTAACACTTGGTAGACGACAGTTGTTACAAGAGGAGTCTTGCCCCACATCAAAATCGAATGGAAAGTAATTAACTATATATAAGTTGGGTGTTAATACCATCTAATAATTTAAGCTTTTGGGATGGATCACAAAGCACTCGGGCCATTACACTTGGTATCAAAACCAAACTAGTCCTTAATCGGGTGTCATGCCAAACGTTTGACCTAGAGATATCCTAGTTTGCAATGAGGGTGTTGCGAGTTCAAAAGGGGATGCAATAAGAGAAGTCTTGTTGACATGAATACCAAGCACCCCACCCGAAGGTGTCCGAGTCTGCAATGTGGCCATTGTGATATTGAGTGGGGAAGAATGCAATAAGAAAAATCTTGCTGACATGAACACAATTAATTATACCCAAATCCGCTCATCGTTTTTGTGTGTTAGCTCGTGGTGTTAAGACGCCTTGCCTAAGAATGAAATTTGATATTAACCCCAAATTTTTATATCCTTAAATAACCTTTATTTCAAAAAAAAAAACTTGGATACAGTATACAAACACCTTTTTTTTTTTTTTTTTTTTTTTTTTTTGTTCCTTTATTATTATTATTTCTATTCCTTTCTCTCCTGGATGGATATTTGGTCTGGTATAAAATGTATAATTTATAACAATTTTTATTTATATTAAAGACGTGAAAAACTTGAAAAAAGGAAAAAAAAATAAATTAATTAATTCAGTCTCAAAATGATGCCCTTGATACATTTGTTACAATTATTAATCAAAACATAACAAATAATATAGTTGAAAATTTAACAAATGAACAATCAAGTCATCCAATTAGTAATTTTGCAATTCAAAAAAAAAAAAAAAAAAGAAGAATAAATTTTAAATAAAAATTATTCACTAATATATAATATTAATATTTTAAATATTAAAAGTTAATTTTATATTAGATTGATCGGGCCTTGGTTAGTTGGTTAGTCCACAGAAGTTCAGGTAAGACACGTCCGAGCTTATAGTGATTCACAACTGGTTACTACACAGGTGACATGTGGATACACACCCAGAGAAGAAATATTCACACACTTGTGATAATAATTAAAAAAAAAAAAAAAAAATGGAAAAATATTCACACACTTGGAAAATATATGGTCACACATACGAGGCTTTAAACAAAGAAGAGAATAAACAAGAAGAAAAGTATAATTGAGAGAGACAAACATCACCATCAGCAGTAAGTCACTGAAGAAGCAATACCCAAAGTACAAATCTGTGCAATATATATATATATATCTATCGTCTAGACACTGATTTTCATTCATATCGATTCATCTATCGATCATCAACCCACAATTCGATCAATCTTATTGGCCTCCATGGAAGTCCGACACAATCCGGCAATGGGCAACTCGTCAGGAACATCACCGCCACCTTCGAGCCTGCCCAAAACTTCCCCGAATTTCGTCGACACCACTTCGGCCTCTCAGAGGTCCATTTCTTTCCATGTATTTTCTTGGAAGTTTTCTTTTGATTCTGTTTAGTTTCTGACAATTCATGGGAAAAGAAAACAGAGTCAATATCTTGTATCTTGAATCTTAAATGGGTTTTCATTTGATTGGACCCATGAACGCATAATAGAAACTATTTGGTAGTTTAGACAACATTACACATTTGATTCAAAAGTTTGTATCCCTTTTCTTTCTTGCTTTATTTTTCTTTTGCAAAATTCTCAGCAACCAAACGGAGGGTCAGGGTCTGTTACCCTGTTAAAATCTTACTAATATACTTTGTGCTTTTAGCTTTTTTCATGTATTTACTGTAAAATCTTATTGTTCCTTTTCAGGCTTCAGAAGGAGTTGATGTCTCTCATGGTAAGCTCTCTCTTTTCTTTACCATACATGATACACACCACATGTTTGTTTTGTGGCTGTTCATTATAATACTTGTAATGCTTAGTACAGTGATATTGCTTTGGTTTTATATGTTTTCTCAGTAAGTACCAAAAATTCGTGTACTGTGTTTCTCAGATTTTTGTTTGATCCCCTTCATACCCAAATTACACATTGAATTGTTGATGGTTGCAACTTCCAAGAACATAGCAATGCATGTCAATTTGTTTGCAAGCCTTAAATTAATGGTCGTAGAATGTTGTTGTTGTTGTTGTTGTTATGATAACCATCAATTCAGATTTTGAGAAACAACTTTGTTAGGTTGGTCTAGTTAATCCAATACATCAGACTAGGCTCCATGAGTAGAGCTTCTTTCAAGTTAATTTCTTCTCTTGTATCTTCAAGCTTAGCAATCCCTTGGATTGGATCTTCTCTGCTCTATTGTTGGTGGCGGTGTCATCGTAATGGCTATTTTAGCATGAGATCAACAATGGGGATCTCCACATCGATTTAGTAGTGAATGATAGTGATGGCAAGTGCTAAGAATGATCGAGGATGAGAAACTGGAAAATACTTATGTTGTGTTTGGGAGCATTGAGGTGCATTGGATTTGGGATTGGAGGAAACTTAGTTCAAAGTTTTAACTAAATTTATTCCAAATCCAAATTCAAGCCGTCGATTCAATGCTCCCAAACATAGCGTAAACAACTTTCCATGAGTTTCATTTTGGTAATTAAAATAGCTATTGTGGCAAGTGTTCTGTTTGTGTGTTGTCTGTTTGTGTCATTTAGCAAATTATTTGAAGAACGGTGGCATTGAATTTCATATACCTGTTTGGCAACTTACGGCCTTATGTGTTCATGCTGTGGGACTTCTCAGAAGATTTTTGTAACGCTACACCAGAGGATAAGATGTAATGACTTGGATATCTGCAGTAATGATCGAGATATCACTAACTTTAGTAACCTCTTTTAAATCTTTTGAGTGTTTTGGAATTGTCTAAACCTTGATTTGTTGTTTAGAAGCACAAAATATGTTCAATTCTGAGGTGTTACCAATGTTAAAAGCTATGTGTCTCATGCTAGTGATTGGAATTTTTTCTGCCAGTGCAAGCAATTATCTATTATGCCTTTAATGATCCAATAAGCAAATTCGTATGCTACATTCTCATCTTCCTTTTCCTCCTTTAGAATGAGGATATTGAAAGTCAGTGAAGTGTTTACGAGTGGCTTTTGGAAGACTAGATGTTTTTTATGCTATAATCATGGCCTATATACATACATCAACAGTGATATATATATATTTTAAGGTTATTAGGTTGGAATTTCTTTGTTATCAATTCATTAAAACAACAAGGGAATCACATTTTTCTTTCTTCCTTAAATTTTGCTAGTTAAATTTTTTTTTTTTTTTTCATTATTTATTATTTTCACATTAATAATGTCCAACTTCACAGATGAGTGGTGGAGATCTTGGAATATCAGCTTTTCCTGAAGGTGATAGCATATTTACCTGGATCGGCACCATCGAGGGCGGGAAAGGAACCATGTATGAGGGCTTGTCTTACAAACTTTCTTTGCATTTTCCCCTGGAGTACCCTTTCAAGCCACCCCAAGTGAAGTTCGAGACAATGTGCTTCCATCCGAATATTGATCAATTTGGCAACATTTGTCTTGACATCCTTCAGGTATTAATCTGTCTAGTTTAATGGTTTTAACAAACTTTGTGGTAGCCGGTAGTAGCCAAATCCAAGAAGAATGAAGAAGGAAATCCTTTTGACCGCTATTATGCGGAACATATTACCTGACCTGCTTATGGTCTTCCAAATATATTATGACGTCGAAAAATGGAACAGTTGGAGAAAAGTAACAACTCTGTTAGAGAGCACCTTATAGGAGAGCCATCATGTTGGAAACTAAAGGTGCTCTCTAACAAAGTTTAAAAAGAGTTCAAAATTTTACTTAAATAGTATCGACTGGGCATATTGGTATGGACAAAGAACAGCTGGAATCGAGTTATTTCATTCCAGACTACTATGGCAACTTAGCAAGAGAGGGATGGTAGTTTCATTTTACTACTAAGTTACTTCAATCACATTTGTAAAATGTTCTTATTAAGTTTTTTGATTCAATCGTCTCTTTTTCTTGCGGTAGGACAAATGGTCTTCAGCTTATGATTGCAGAACAATTCTTTTGTCCATCCAAAGTCTCTTGGGAGGTCAGCTTAATTTTCCCTGTATGAGATTTGTCTTTTGATTTTCATTTGTTTGTTTGCCCTAACTATTAGTTGTAACATACAGAGCCCAACACTGAGAGTCCTCTCAACAGCTACGCTGCAACACTGTGGAATAAAAAGGAAGGTTGGATTGCATTTCTTATCTTCCCTTCCCATGCATATTTTATTTATTTATTTATTTTTAATTTAATATGAAGATTGAACACTACCTTCCGTGTTCATGTCGATACTAGATTATAATGATCTAAATTTGAATGAGTCTCACTTTCTTGCATTTCTGATACATAATATTCAACACATGAGGTCATTTATCAATACGATGATTGCAGCCTACAAGTTCTATCCTTAATTTAAGGGCATTGTCTCTATATGAATTTGTGAATCTATATAGACTAAACACCTTAAGGATATTTGTTCTGTTTTAGGGTTGGAAAAATGGTAATCTCGTCGGGTATTTTTTTCCCCTCCCGGTAAAGTCTCTTCGTCTATAGTTAAAGGAATTGTTAAACCTGTTTACATTGTGGAGTGTTTACTTCATAAAGTGACTGGTCCAACTGATAACGCAGAAAAAATTGTAATCTCAATGTTTAAAACTTTATAAACATTGTGGAGTATTTGAAGTCATAAAAGTGATTGCTACAACTGATCTGAAAGTGTGATTTTGATATTTCCTTGCAGATTACAGAAAAATGGTACAGAAGCAGTATTTTGCAGGAGAAGTAATTGAAAGCTGATCTGTATATTCTTTTATCACAAATAACCAGAATGCCTATCATGTTGTCATACAGTACAATTTGTCTATTATATAGCTAGCTCTTCATTTAAATTTAAAGGTTATAGTTTTGTTGTTCCTTTGGTGGCCTCTCTCTTCTTCTTGGTAAAGTTGTTCATTGAATGATAGTGAAACACTGAAATTGTAATTAGCATCAATTTATGGATCTGTTTACCTGTAATTAGCATCTCTCTCTCTCTCTCTCTCTCATTCGGCGTTCTCCAAATTCAGAGAATATATCTTTTTCCAATAATTTTTCCTTCGATTATGAAATAAGAATAGCAGCTTTTCACTTGTACTTCGTGCCTATATACGAACTTAATATGTATAAAAGGATCATTGCTGGTGTGGTCTCCATTAATTGGATTTTCTGGGAGTATATTTTGACATTATTTGTTCAAAGTGGCTACTCTCAAGGTTTGGACTAGAGAGATAAAATGCTTGAACTGTGATGAGAACCCAATATTCACATTTAACAAAATGATCCTATAATTTTTTTTATGCAAATTCTGTAAATGATAGATGGTTTTCAAAACTATAATTAAATATTATAAGAATGATATACGAGTTGACTCGGCTTGTCCGACTATCACAAAATCATGGTAGGGCCGGTAGGCTCACACAAATGATATGGGACTCATGTCTTGTGAGTGAGTCAGTACTAAAACAACCTGAGCATACTTGTTTAGCAATTGCCCCATTATTTGCAACATTCACAGGAGCCCGCCTCTTTCTGCGAGTTGCAGCACCACTCGGTTAACAAATGAAGAGAGCAGAAGACGAGGCAACTAGTTGATCACGACGACACAACAGAGAAGACCGACAAAGTGACAGCCCATAAAGAGAGGAGAGAGGGGTCAAAAAACCCGAAAAGATGCAAGGAAAGTGATGCAGTTGAAATCCCAACTCAGTTTAAATGCTACAATTAAAGCAATTAAATAATGTTATAAGGTTTTTCTTATTCTAAATATTGTGCATTAACACAGGTGTTTGTCTACTATATGCACACAAAAAATACAGAAATTTAACTTGCATTCAAAATGAATCCGACTTTATTCCTCCGTTGGACAATCCGCGAGAGCAGGAGCCTTGCAGATGGGGCAGACATTCTTCATCGACAACCACTTTCTGATGCAGCCCACATGGTAATTATGTCCACAATTCTTTATGATTCCAACTTCCTCTTCTTTCTTGTACTCTTCCTGTGAATTGCAATAGCAAAAAAGACAAGCTAGTTAGTTGGACATCCCATAAAAGGACATACATTCTCTACATACGGATTTTTGAGTTCTCTTCAGCTTCTACTTTCTACTTCATATGTTCTGTACAAAGAATTTGTGGCAATACCCAACTGGTAGTAATCAAGGCTCCGTAGAGCCGAGTTTCAATATAGGGAAGATCTTGTGTTGCACCTCCTCTAACACACAACATGGAAAGATCAAAACCTAACAATTAATGGTCTCACCTAACCTAAGATTAGGGCAGTTGTTAAATTAAATGTTATTTTTTACATATGAGGTGACATCATAATCATCAGCAGAAGCAAGGTGCAGGAGACCTAACAAGGAAAGTTCAAGCGAGACCCATTATAAATCTAAACGTGCTATCTTTCGAGGCGACAGGCTTTGGTGACTCATATAAGTAAGCTGAAAATCAGTAGTTACAGTCATGCAAGAGAAAAAGAAAATATTAGACAAGAACTCCAATTGGGGTCATGCAATTTGGCTGAATCCAACCCAGTAAAGGAACAAGCAGCAGGAAGTATTCCATCTAAATGATTAAAAAACACACCATCTTTTTTGCTGGGATAAATTTGTGCATGAAACCATAACATAGTGGATATTTTAACAAGTGATGACATGACATGTTTCCAACCATTGGATTTAGGCTTGTAGATGCTTGGAGAGAAAAGGGTTCGAGAGGATCCATTTCCTTAATCAACACATTCTAAATTGGGCCACCTAGAGATGCAAGTTCCTTTTCATATACCACTGGCCATCATTCGATAATCATAGGCCCATATTTATGCAATCTATTTCATTTTAGGTCAAAAAGGCAAGATCAAATAATTTCTTACGAGGCAGATGACGCAGGTTCCTTCCTGAGGCTTATCATCTGAAGAACAGTACATTATTTCTGTCAAACACTTGAAAATCATATCTTCAGACAAACCCGTGTTGACATTCCCTATCCTTTCCCCTAAAGCAAGAAGTTCCTGTAGAAAACCAATTTATAACATGCATAAGAGCTTAGGACGACCGTAAAGTAGCAAGGAGATCAATGTTAGTTAGCAACCTCAAAACTCATGCTGTCAATGTCTAGCCTCATGTCTCTATGTTGATCAAACAAATCCCTGAAACCAGCATAAAAAGATGGGTGATCCACCATCATGAGAGCCTGCATGGGAAAAGAAAGGATTCATGTTACCAGCTGATAAACAACTTAAAGCATTAACACCTGGACATGACCCAATATGTATCTCAAATTGGAGATTATGGATGTTATAAGATTTTTAAAAGACCATAATAGATTGATAAAAGTAATTATCTCTAGGATTCATATTTATTTATACCAAAAAAAATTTATATTCTGTTTAATCAACACATGCATGTCCGATATTTGTTGAACCCAAAAGCCTATAACAGTGTCCTTGTCACATAGGTTTTTTTTTTTTTTTTTTAATGCATACCCAGACTGGTCATGGAGAGAAATGAAATACAGTAATGAATCAAGTATTAGTGATTTTCCTGTAATCATTTCGAGACGAGAAACTACAGTCAGAAATGTCCTCAGCCCCGCAACCACGGACATCAAATGGGTTAACAGATGTTGCTCTATTAATTTTAGCACAAGAAAGCCAACAAAAAATAAAATCACACACCTCGGGTCCCATTCTTCCATAGGCATCCGCAACCCTAGGAAATGATTGGAATCTCTCAGTAACTATCCTAGACCTTTCATTAATGTAACTGTTGTGCCATATTCTGGCAGATGATGGCCCTGAATGTCTGGAAGGATACACTTCTGAGAGTGACTGCAAACCATTTTCTGAAGAAGCTGTTTCATGTCCCAAGCAAGGGTAGCTTGGACCAGTCCTGTACGAAGGTGTTGCTCTTTGAGGATAATAGGTATGGTCTTCCCTTGCAGACTGAATGTGGGGACCATGCAGATACTGTGAAGATAAAACAGGATTTCCACCTGAAACAGAATCATGGTAATAGCAACCAGTCTCTGCAGTGCTTCCTCCCACAAGAAACTGATTGGTTGCACGGCTAAAGCCATTGGTCTCTGCAAGTTTGCCAAGCATCTCTCTTAAATATGGTTAACAAATTACAGGGAAAGCAAATAGGCAATAGATCAAACTAACCTGAAGTTGAAATCCTTCCGTGAGCAGCATGAGACACAGGAATAAAATTCCACTCGTGAGTCCTTTCATCAGGATTGATATTAGTAAGGTCTGCCATCCCAGAAATATTTGTTAGCTGGGTTGTTGAATGGTAATGATGAGAAGAATAGCTTGATACATGACTTCTCACATGGTTGGCTTCCAAATCAAGTCTGGTTCGGCTTCTCACATTCCTCAATGACTCTTCACCAGCAATTGAGAGGCTAGTACCCCTATATTGAGGTAAGCCGATAGGTCCTGGAAGAATGCGTTGATGATCTAAAGTTGGTATTTCCTGCAACAACTCAGAAGAGCCAGAGGAACTTCCTACATCATAGAATCTGCTTGTGCTGCCTCCTTCAAAGGCCATAGAAATGCCTGGGCTTTTTCTTTTAAGTGCCCTTCTTCCAGTGCCGGTTACAGGATCAAGTAGACTACCCTCAAATCCATGAATAGGGTGTCTGTTGTTATAACTAGAATGTGCATGGCCAGCATTATTCTCAGGTGCACGATATAAGTTTCCAGCAGCTGGTGAGAGTGGAAAGGAATCATAAACAGGGCCTGAAAAAGTTGGTTGAAATTGTGGTACTTCTCTGCTGAAGCTTGAGGAGGAAGACTCATTTGCTCTGCTATCTGAGTTTCCCCTAGAAGCGCAGTGTACTTCACCCCTTAACATATTGCCCACTGGATAAACATAAGAGCCAGTTTCTGGAGCAACAGCCCTTCCTGACATAAAAATATTGTGAATACTACTGTAGTGGCAGTAAGAGAATACAAGAAGGGTGGGGGCCACTGGTGGTTCAACCTAGTTTCAGTTTCACTTTTTAGCAAATTCAGACCAAAATCATTGAAAATTCAGTCAGCAACTTTATGAAGGCCAAAAGTGAATAACATATCAAATTACAATGAAATTTAGTAATTTCTTTCTTCTATTTTTTTTTGGATCACATCCTACACTTGGGAACATTGCCTTAATTTTTAGTTTTAGAAATCAAGCCAACACTAGGTTTCGTCCCACCAACAGTTTTGCATGAGAGCAGTTTAAGTCGGACACAATAGTAGAGGCAAAATGCTACCACTTGGAAAAAATTTGTTGGAGAAAAGAAGTAACTAAAACATAGTGGAGAGACAATTGACAAGAGTGGAAAGTAATTTTTTTTTTTAAATTAAAAATATATATATATACATATATATATATATATACATATATATATATATATATATATATATATATATATGAGATGAGGAGCATACACGCATAGAAGGTGTCCTCCTTTATCATCATACTAGCAATTACAAAATTAAATACAAGAAACATTCAAATGAATAGAAATAAAGACAATTACAAGATCAAGTACCCATATGAATATAAGTATGTTCTGCAGTTGAATGATTTTGGTTGACACCTTGATCCATCTCTGACATATTGAATGAGTTGGAGAAGTGTCTATGTTCCATGGCTCCCTCAAAGCAGGAAATGAATCAAGCTCTGGAATCAGAAGAGGAAATCAGTAATACCAACATGCATTCATGAAAAAAACTGCCAGAAGTTCAAAAGCACAATTGTGGCATGAAGATTAAAGAAAGTATTCTACCAAGAGGGCCTCAATGGAGTGCCCTCCACATGCAAAACTTCCATAGCATAAAAGAATTTCTCTTAAAATATTGAATTTCATGCACAATTATTGAAAATTAGAAGGAAAACCACATCTTTAAACCATGCATTAATATAAAGGCAATCTAAAGCTTGATGAATTTCACGCAAATATCACTCATACATAAACTCTGTTGCTTACAATTTTTTAATTCCTCCCATTTCTTATGGTCTCTATTCTATTTTTTAAGTAGCCCTTTTTTCTAAAAAAGCATTCTAGTTTCAAGTAGGTGAGACCCATAACCTCGTACATAAGGTGCATAACATTTATCATGTTAGAATTAGAACTTAGTCTTGGCAAAATTCGTTACAAAAGCCGGAGTCTTTATGTTTTAGCTTTTGATTAGATTTTCAAAAGTAAGTTTAGTTAGTTTGTGGTGGTACCTATATCCAAGAGCAGAATTAAAATTTGAAAATATATCAAAGAGCAAAGAGGTAAAATCACCTCTTAAATAAACTAACTTGCCAATTAGGGTTCATAATCATACATTCTCATTTTAGGGTACAATGCATACACAATTCAATTCATAAAAACATGTTTTGAATGCATGAAATTGTATTTGGAATAAATATATTTGAACAAGAAATTTTTACAAAAAATAGTAAGGCGGTCGATGTGTTGACCGATCAAGAAGGTCCAAAAAAAGCTATATTGAAATTCAGAATAGCTTGATGGAGTGCTCGACCGATCAAATCTTGGACAGTAGTTGTCCATCAATCAAACTAGGTGCGAAATTTTTTTGACAACTTTGACTAAGAACGCTAATTACGAATGAATCAAATCACTATAAAAAGACCTCTATGCTCTCATAACACAAAAAGTATATACAAAGAGATCTCTACACACATTATTGAGAGATCACATAGAGAGCAATTTTTTTTTCATCATCCAGCATGTTGCATTAAATAGTGAGTTATTATTCGGAGTGTTGTTCATCATCTTGTGGAGCTTATATAGTCATCAACATCTAATTGAATCTACAAAACAAACACGCAACCAGGATGACCAGTGGCTGAGACTGAATCACTAGTTCAAGAATCAGATTTGTGAGGACCGAAGTCTATTAACAAGTAGATTGTGTACCCGGAGACTCGAGGAGGGTTTGGTGGATCAATCTGTGTCAAGGAGGTAACCGGGGTTCTTGGTTTGGGAAACTCTAACCTAGTTGTAATCTTCTTTCTCGTACTGGATTCAGTTTGTTTGGACTAGCCTGACTAGGTACCATGGTCTTTCTCCATTGGGGTTTTCCACGTAAAAATCGTGTATTCTTATGTGTTTGAATGATTTATTTATTTCTACTCTTTACATTTGACTAATTCATATTGTCGCATTTACAGTAAAGTTGTGATAATTCAAAAATCAATTATTGTTAATCTATTCACCAATCTAAATTTGTTTTGGGCCTTGCACCAACTTTAATATCAGAGCCTTGACTAACGTTCTAATGTTTTATCAGACTAAATAAACTATCGATGCCAAAACCTGGAGGTATTGTTGCAAGTACATTTCTTATTTCAGTTCAAAATAGCTGGTAGATTTGATATCTTCTATAACACCAAAAATTTATACATGGAGGCATTTCCATTATATACAAGAATATATCAATTGCATACAGTTTGAAAATAAAATACAAAAACGATTGGCACTATAACATAGAAAAAGTGAAATTACTGGAACATCAATTAAGTACAAAGTCAGATTCACCTGATCATGAAACCTTATTATTGCAGACAAAAATTTCTACCAACTCCCTGAGTTACCAGTCAAGGGATAGAAGAGCTCCAGAGATCCAATATTGAACAAAATTGTGCCAGATGTAAAATTAGCATTTACCAGTTTGACGCTAATTAGAAATAATTTTCTGGAAAGTGGAAGAGAGGACCTTCAATTATAAGTGTTGAAGAAAGAAATAAGTAATCCAGTTGGGTTACATTAGGTTGCTGACCAGCAAGACTTCAGCCAAACCTTCATGAACTTTAAGTTTGAGACATTTCTCAAATGCTAGCCTTTTGTAATGAGACCATTGTGACAGTAATCAGATACCTTAAAAAGACGACAAAGGTAAGTTTCGACAATCCCTAACTTATTCACACCAAAATCAGAGAGTAGGAAAGGATCTCTCTTCATAGGCCATATAGGAAAGTTTAACCAAATAATGATCTCTCAATTATGAACTTGAATATCAACATTGTTACAGGTAGACACAAGGAGTTGAACAAGCAGGCACCGCTGTGTTTTTGAACAAGAAAGACCACAAAGAGCGACAGCGCTCCCCTTTCATCCAAGCACCCACCCCCCCCCCCCCCCCCCCCCCCCCCACACACAACAAAAAATAAATAAATAAATAATAATAATAATAATAATAATAAAGTGAAACAAATAAATAGGTAGGAAAAAAACTAAAACTTAAAACAATCTAAGTAATTGAAAAACACCTCATCCAAGTCACTAAGAAGCATCCAACTTAAACCTTCCCAGAAAACAAAATTAGAGCATTTGGGAAAATGTAACTACACCTTTTTCTCACAAGATATAAAGGGCTAGCCCAGTGCAAGAAACTCATGCCATTGCGGGGTCTCGGAAGGTCAGATGTATATAACCTTACCTCTGCATGCGGAAAAGCTATTTCCTGTTCAAATCAATGACCTCCAGGTCACAATGGAACTGGTGCTAAGGCCCGCCCTCAAAAAACATTTTTATCTTCTTCAGTCCCCCGAAAGGAAGAGAAATTAATGCAAATACAAGCATATTGCCTTTGATGATAATTCATGAGAAGTCACTAAATTCAAGAACACACAAAAAGCCCCAGAACAGAAGCCAGAAGAATAACCAAATATTTGACTATATCTAAAAAAGGACAAGGAGACAATTTCTTACAAAGCAAAACAAACAACACATGGGTTGAAAAATAATAAAGAAGATGAATCCGTCCACTAAAAGGGTCAACTCAGAATTCTATCCGACGGGGAAATCCTAAACAAAAAGAAAAGGAAAAAATAAAAATAAAAGAGTTCTCAAGAATTAAGAAAACATAAAACTGTTCTCAGAGAACAATCTTTTATAGTTCTCTGAAAACAAGCATTTTTATAACTGAGTTTTCAGAAAACAATTTTCTGAAAACTGAACCAAACAGAGGTTTTTGTATTGTTTTCAGTTTTCAGTTTTTTTGAGATCAGTAAACTGTTTCCATAGTTACAAACCAAGCAAGCCTATGAGACTCCATGTTTCCTAGAAGGGCATTTAAGGAGTTACAGTGCCCTCCCAGGATCTTTTTTTGCTTTGAGGTGATTCTGGCAATTGATAATTTGGGAAGTAGAGGACAAAGTCTCGAAATTGGTAATGTATGTGCAGGGCAGCAGAGGACACTTACAATCACCTCTTCCTCTCCCTCTTATGCGTCTGTTGGATCATATCGGGCTAATCATGGAGCTTATTGATTTCGGGAGAAGGGTTTTGTGCTCATAGAAGAGTTCAAGCAAGTTTGGAAGGCTGGGAAGTTGATAAAAGAGGAAGTGCAACAAATTTGACAACAGTGCCATGGCAGTACAAAGTTCAAACAAAGGTGGTGATGGATTGATAACAGTGCTGTGATGTGCAAATAGTGGTGAAAACACTAACGGAGATGGAAAGTTGTATAATTGTGTTAGTGATGGTGCAGCCATGATGGTAGAGGTGGCTGTTTGAGATACGAACAAGCTAGCGGTAGGATGGTAGTAACTTTGTAAACAGCGATGGGGAATGTGGTGACTGGTGATTGTTGTGTCAAGGTAGCAGAGGTGGCAAAGCCTGCTAATTATACATATAAAACAGTATATTATGCCTCCAGCCACTATTTTAAACAGAATTTTCCCCCAAAAAAATAACATGAAAGGAGATTAAATATGACCTGGGATATCTGGTCCACAAAACATTTGATAGTGAACATACCACACATTCCTCAAATGAATCTATGTTGAAAAAATCAGGACCTTTTCAGACTAACATCAAGGAATCAGTACTGAATGCCTCCCATATATCTCTGTGGTATATGAACCAATATATCAAGTTTTCTGTGTATGAAGATAACATCCTTGAGAAATGAGGTAGCATGACAAACTACATACATCAACACCTTCGACAAAAAAACCTCAAGGTTTCTCCTGGTCCCTGGTAACTAAACCACCTGTTCATTTTCCCTTCATTGCATGAAAAAAATTATCCCTGAGAAAAAAAAAAAAGATCGTATACGGCCCCAGCAGTTATATCACATAAAAGGGAAAATTTTGAAGAGGCAAAACAGGATAAGGATATCACATAGAGGATAGACTACAAAACCAATGACTGAATGAATAGAATGTCGATACATCAGGAAAGCCAAAACTTACGACATCAGTGAACAGAAACCAATAATGTTGAGGACCATCATTGAAGATTGCAACACTGAAACCAACAATTAATGATGGAGAAGCTGATACTTGCGTCAACTTTTGCCAATTGTAATGTCTCTACAACAATAATATATAAAAAACGACTGAATGGATACGATGTTGATACATCAGAAAAGCCAAAACTTGCGACATCAGTGAAAAGGAAAGAATAATGTTGAGGACCGTCATTGAAGATGGCAACACTGAAACCAACACTTAAAGATGGAGAAGCTGATACTTTTGTCAACGTTTGCCAATTGTAATGCCTCTACATCAATAGTATAGAAAATTATGCATACTCGCAACGAATGCCCAAACCATATCATCAAATAATTAATATCAGTTATATCACAACTAGGCCTTAATATCAATTACTTGCATCCATTCGAATAAATCTGGCATCAGCAAAAGATTGTAACCTACCAGGCCCAAAAACTTGGGGTCAATAAACTATTGTCATAGATAATTCCCGAGAATCTCAATGCACATGTAATGCTTCTGTGCTAGGGTTGAACAATAAAATATAAGCTTAAAAGCTACAAAATCATGTACACAACTTGAAATAATCCTCCTTTCAGAAATATTAACAATATCCACACCTCGAGGAAATCAATAATTGGATAGAGGGACCTTCTAGGTGAAGTTCAACTCCTTGTCAGAAGCAATTCTAATAAACTGTTTGAGACTGGAGCAATAGTTGAAGCAAATCCAGATGCATCCTTAAAGCAATTTTAAGAAGAGCATGAAGTGGAAACCTCAACTGGCAAACAGATACTTTAAAGGCAAGTGATATTTGACCAATAAAGAGGAGGGACAACAGACAATCAAATTCAGACTTAACAAGCGCCTTTAGGAATTTGTCAGTGAAAAATATTTGGTTCATCCTCTTGAAACTTTCTCAAATGTCTCTATTTCTACAGCGACAAACTTACACATAGAAGCCTTTTCATATGTGCCATTTATGCATTTTTCACCAACACTTGAAGGAAATCAAGTAATACTATCTTGCTCATTTCACCAACTCCATTTCTTTTTTCTTGATAAGTAATTCACCAAACTCCATTTCAGTAGAAGATTCGTAGTTTATTGATATCCTCACCAGTTCTCCCCAGCCAATGGGTTCAAGTTTTTAAACAACATGAATAATTTCCCACCCATTTGTTGAGATGTGGTATATATTTTGTTTCAAGAGCGCCACCTGACATGTGAAACACCAGAAAAAGGTTCATCATCACTGTGGTGGCTACTGATTTCAATATCATAAGAGCACAAAGGCAACAATTACCTATCTTCAATAACGTCAATTGTTGCATTTTTATTGATATCCTCACCAGTTCTCCCCAGCCAATTGGTTCAAGTTTTTAAACAACATGAATAATTTCCCACCCATTTGTTGAGATGTGCTATATATTTTGTTTCAAGAGCGCCACGTGACACATGAAACACCAGAAAAAGGTTCATCATCACTGTGGTGGCTACTGATTTCAATATCATAAGGGCACAAAGGCACTCCATATTGTCATGTAACAATAAGGTTCAAGAATAAGTCCTCATAATCAATGGCAAATACTGTGAGGGCTAGTGATTTCAATAATATAAGAGGCACTCCATATTGTCAAGTAACAATAAGGTTTAAAAATAAGGCCTCATAATCACTAGTCAATACGCTTTTCTCCATGACTATCCACTTTCACTGTTTGATTCCGGTGTCCTACGCGTAGAGGAACCACATAAATCCAATGCCGACGGCATATAATCCTATAGTCTCATTCAAACAGAGTTAAAGATAATCAGCAAATTCTTTGATTGCAACCCATTTTAAATTGGCACTCATGCAATCAAAAAATTAGGCCCTTCCAGCACAAGAATAGAAGAACGCAAGGGTTTAACTGCCATGGATATGCTCGTGATAGAAGGTGGAGACCTCTCCATCTATAAATTTAAGTTCAGGCCCTAAATAAACATTTCACCACTGAGAATAACCATTGTCTCAGCAAATTATTTTTAGCGATAAACAAGTGTTAATTACAATTTTTACCCTTGATTCATTGTTCCAATACTGCCCCTAGGATGCTCAGAGTACCTGGGGGCATGCACCTTGATACGAAGACTACTTCTATGGTTGTAACATCCTGAAAATGAACTGCTCCGTCACAAGCTAATTGCAATATAAGGAACATCCCCTGGAGTAACACACTCATATTATTAATGTGACTTTCATTGCGAACAAGTAATTATATGAGACTTTGGCAAATCAAAAATCAGATCCATAGAAATCGATATAGTTTGCTTTCCGGGCAGAAAGGTTGATTTCTAGCACAAATTGCACCTGTTAGCGTGAAATGGATCTTGGTTGGAACAAGGGATTCCAAAATGAAAATCCTTCTTCTGTTGCTCAGAGAAACCAAAAGTTCCTGCAATGCAATACCATTTATGATTCAGATGAACTGAACAGGAATGGAAGACTCTGACTAGCAATCTACCGGATGTGGCTCCTACAAATAGCTAGTGAATGTTTCTCACCAAAAAAATAAGTAAATGAAAACGAATGAGCTGTTAGCACTGTAAAATTTGGATCCTAAGAAATCATAAATTAGATTGCTTTCAAAAGCTCTTTAAGGAGACTAAGATCCTTGAAGGTAAATGAACATATTCAGAACCAAGCCCAAACGCCACGCAGAGGGACTTAAAGCTTGAAAAAGATAACAATGCAAGATACCTGTTCAAAGGAATATGTACACTCCAAAAAAAGTGGGGATAGAAAGAGAGAGCTATTTTAATTACAAAGTCTCATGCACTTGTTCATGCAACGAGTTGGGCGTTAAAAAAGAAACACAAACAAGGCAGGATGCTATGATGGATGAT